AAAGATAAACTAGTGGTGGTTCTTGGGGGGTGGGGGGTGGACAGAAGCATGAGTTAAAATACGTGCATGTTCAGCAGATCTGTTATAATGAAACAAGCTTGATGCTTTTATATAGGGAAGTGAAATGAGTTCTTTTGTTTAAGGTAATATCCTTCACTTCACCCCGTTTAGGTAACTTCTATCGAATACGTAGTGCTTTCAAATATGGGGCCCAGAAGCTTGGTCAAGTTCTTTTGCAACCAAGAGATAAAGTTGCTTTTGAGGTCAGTGGATTCTTCAGAAATACTCTTGCAAGGCGTGGCCATTTGGCCATAACATTAAGTGTTATAAAAGCTTTGGGGGCATCTTCTAGTCTAAACACCAATACTGTAGAAAATTTATACCGTGCTTTAAGGGAAATAGGTTTGACTGGAATTGGAGGAGACTCAGAAGCTTTAAATCCTCTGGTAGACCTCACTGGGGATTATGACAGTCATATTAGGTGTTTGCAGTATGCTCAGCTCTATCAGGAGTTGGCGTTATCTACAGCTGCATTGTCCGATCCTCCCCCATCACCTTCTTGGATTCAAAACGAGAATCCATGGGATACTGTTAGTCGATCAATGCCACATGGGCAGAATCAATTTTTGGGTGTGAACTTAAAGTCCATAATTGTGGATCCACCTATGCACCCTGTTCCTGATTCAGCCTTACCTGCTTTGGCTTTTGGTTCTGAAGGAATGATGCAATATGCTCAGCGATGTCAGGGGTTTGCTTCATCTACACCAGCATTGTCTGTTCCTCCCCAATCGCCTTCTCGGAGTCAAAATAAGAAGCCACAGAATACTGTTAATAGATCACTGCCACATGGGCAGAATCAATTTTCGTGTGTGAACTTAAATGCCGTGTCTGCGGAACCACCTATGCACCCTGCTGCCGATTCAGCCTTGACTGCTTTTGCTTTTGGTTCTGAAGGGGCAATTCAATATGCTCAGCAATGTCAAGGGTTTGCTTCATCTACAGCTGCGTTGCCTGTTCCTCCCCCATCGCCTTCTCGGAGTCAAAACAAGAAGCCACAGAATACTGCATTGCCTGTTCCTCCCCCATCGCCTTCTCGGATTCAAAACAAGAAGCCACAGAATACTGCATTGCCTGTTCCTCCCCCACCGCCTTCTCAGATTCAAAACATGAAGCCACAGGATACTTCATTGCCCAATCAAAACAAGAAGCCACATGATACTGTTAGTAGATCAATACCACAAGGGCAAAATAACTTTTCGCATGTGAACTTAAACCCCGAGTTTGTGGAACCACCTTTGCGCCCTGCTGCTGTTTCGGCCTTTCCTGCTTCTGCTTTTGGTTCTAAAGGGATGATGCAAAGTGCACATAGAAACACTTGCTTCCCTGATATGGTACGCTTGCTCTATAAACTTGCAGTCTCTTATGCTCTTTTATCTTTTGGTTTATGTTCATAATTTAGCAGTGATGACTAATGGACTAGATTTTATCTTTTTCTAATTCAATGTACGCTAACGAGCTATTGATGTCTTGCAGAGTCCAAGGAATCAGTTAGCTCCGACTCCACACAGATCAAATTCTTCTACAAACGGTAACCGTGAAGTCAGGCATGCACAAAGCAGAATTCGAGGAAGGAGATCTGGCGCACGCTCCCAATCTCCTCTTCCTTTCAAAGATGATAATCATGCCCAAGATTCCTCGAGTTCTTCATATAGAATTGAATTTGGAACTATTGGAGACCTGGCGGAAGACTTGATATCAGACCCTTCTCTCTCTTGGAGATTCTCAAAGGGTTCAAAAGCATTGCCCAAAAAGGAAAGTTAGGACAACATTTTTGTTCAACTCTCTGGCCATGGAAAATATATCAGGTTTCTTATGTTTTAAGTTGTACAGAAGAGTGAAAAATGACAACTTTAGATGCTAACAAAACCACGGGTCAGTGAGCATACATAGTTAGGTTTTCAAATTTTCTTTCTTTATTTTTTAGTCATTTCCCGAGTCAGCCATTGACTCGCTGAAAAAATGCGATACATAGCATTGATCATCTCTACAGATACAACTCTCATGACACTGTGTCATAGACTATAAATCTCGTTTCGTTTCGTACTCTTATCATATGACTCTGTACATAAAGCCCTTGTTTGGTTCACATTATTTTCGAAACACATTTTTCTCTTTCTTATTTTCAAATACAGATTTTTCAATAAAATAATATTACACGAAAGCCTAACATTTTTTCTTATTTTTCAACCATACACACTCTATCAAAATACTATTCCAAAATATATTTTCATCAAAAAAATTGGGCTCAATCAGGCTGGAAATGTCACTTCCAGCATCAAGAAATTTTCATCCCAAGTTTAGCCAACTTGTTTATCTTGTTCACTTTCACCACTGTAAGAAATAATAAGGACAATGAATTCTTAAAAAGTTTATTACTACACTTTTGCAAGACTCAAATTTTCGAATCAATTAAAGCTTTATAATCAGTAGTTTCAAAAAAGAACAATGAATTCTTAAAAGCTAAATTGCTTTGCATATGTTTGAATAAATTTTTTAAAAATACTCTGTCCGACTAAAAGAGTTTTAAAGAAGATTGGTCTTAAGCAGTTTCCTCGTAAAGTTCTTTTACTAGAAGCAGAAACAAAAACGGCAGTCTTGCCACGTGGTCCCTTAATTCGACTGGCATTGGGGGATTCAATGAACACAAAATGTGAAAATGTTGAATTATGAGTAGTTTGGAACTAAGAAACCCATGAGACATATTGTGTTCGAGTTACATTATTTTGGAAGAATGTACTTTGGAATAGTATATTGAAGGAGAATGCGTGGTTGAAAAAGAAAAGAATGTATTTTGGAATAGTAGATTGATGGAGAATGTGTGGTTGAAAAGGAAGGAAAAGTTATTGATGTGATGTAAATTATTATTTTATTGAAAGATGTGTGGTTGAAAATGAGTAGAAGAATAAAAATGAAAATTTTAACGTGACTCAAACATGGGCATAATGTAAATATTTCTTGATGACACTGATTACTGAATTGCATAGATTAGACATAATGGGTAAAATATTTCAATCTAATTTAGCCTATCAGTCTACCATTAAAATAGGAGAATGAGTTTTGGAATAGTGAATTAAAAAGTAGGAAAAAAGTTTTAAGTTTACCGTAGAATATTTTATTATGAGAATGTAGTCGAAATTGAGTTTGAAAAGAAAAAAAAGAATTGAAACATTCAATAATACTTAAACGGGGTAGTGACGGAGCTTTTGACATGTGCTATTGTCCAATAAAAGAATTGAAAAAAAAGAATTGAATAATTAAAGTCATCAGTAGTTGCAATTGGTGACTCGCTCTTAACTTGTTCAATAATACTTCTTGAACGGGGTAGTGACGGAGCTTTTGACATGTGCTGTTGTCCAATAAAATGCCGTCGCGTGTCCCCTATTTTTTAACAAATTAACTTAGTTTGTTAAGAGTCCCGTAATAACCTCTCTTTCGTAAACAAAATTCAATCAATCCAGAATCTATGGGTCTTGCTAGAGGTAGTAGGTTTGAACCCCATTTTCAGTTACCAACATGGCTGAATGTACAAACGCCACTAAAGATAAATAAATATATAAATAAAAAGTTGTCAACAATTTTCTTAATTAATTTTTTTTTATTCATAGAAATATAAGCTGACTTTCCAAATCCAATTGTACAAATTGCATGCGTAGCAATTATGAATATGCAACAACTTATTTCCATGAAACCCAAACTTACTCGATTAATAATAATGGTAATAACTTATTTCATGCATTTGTGGGTCCATCTTGCTTGGTATGCATCAACCACCTAAGGTCTACTTTCTAAACTTTAATTCGAAAAGCTATGGAAATGCAAACTCAAAAGCAACTTTCCCGGCCTGACTTACCAACCTATTTAGGTTGTGCTAGGTTCGAATCGAACAATATTGAACGATATTAAGTTCATGTTTGATGGAGATTAAAATTAAAATTTTAATATATTTTAATAAAAGTTGATGAAATTTGTAGTTGAAAAGTTGTGAACGATATTCTATATGATCCATAATTGCTACCCACTTATTATGCACATTAAATATATGATTGAAATTAATTATTGATTTTGATTAAGATGAAAATATGAACTTTCAAGTTTCATCCCTACCAATTTCCAAATAGTAGAGATGTCGGCTCGGCTCGACTCGACTCTTAAACCCACGAGCTCGGCTCGTGGCTCGTTTACTCGTGGGCGAGCTCCGCTCGGCTCGTGGCTCGTCAATTTTTTTTTGTTTGCTTTTTTTTACCTTTTTTTTGGTGTTTTTTCACGAGCTACTCGTGAAAAAACGAGCAGCGCCTGGCTCGGCTAACCTAGCAAGACCGTCGCTCGGCTCGTGCTCGTGCTCGGGTTCGTCTTTCAGCTCATGGCTCGGTGGCAACGAGCCGAGTCTATGAGCCGGCTCGACTCGATTGCCACCACTACCAAATAGGTTCTAAAATTATTAAAATTTGCCTTTTATTTTGTGTAGTAGTATTTAGTTCGATGAAATTGAATAATATTGGACGATACAAAAAAAAAAAAAAGAGGGTGTTGTATTGCACCTTGCATATTCTTGATGTCTCCCTATGTAACAATGTTTTCTCGTTAACATGTTTTAATAAAATATATTTTTTTTACTGCTTAAAAGAAGAGTAATGTTATTTATCATTATAATGATGAAATATCGGTGATGTGACAAATTATGTGGAATAATGAGATATGACAGTTCAATTTTCATGAGAAGTTGCTACATCATCGATATTCGACCATTATAATGATAAATAACATTCCTGTTAAAAAAATAATATTATTGTCGAAATAAATCACTTATTTGTATTAAATTTGTATTTACTTATTAATTAGATGTAAGGAGATATGAACAAGTTTTGAATACTGGGGAAGATCTTAATAACTTTATTTATAATTACAATATAGAATTACATGAACTGATAAAACTGAAAATTCTACGATTGAAGCTGAGGCATGTCGAACCAGATTTGCTCAAACGCCTTTATGATAAGATCATGATATTCATTTGAATTTAAAGAAAGATAACAAGCAAGAAGATTTTCCAAATCCTTGGATGCCCGGATATTGTTTTCTACTATCATTTCCATCATGGATTCCATGAAATCTTTTTCAGGATCAAATGACGCCTTCACGATTGCAACGCTCTCAGTGTATAATTCCTTCTTCTGCTTCTGAGCCTTTAAACGCCTGCTCATTGATACACTCTTTCGGTTCCCTTGGATTTTCTTGTTTGCTAGTCTTGGCGAATTGCCGCGGATCTTCACTCCTGGAGAACGCGATGTAGATTTTCGGGTTGTGAGAGTATGTTTATTATTACAATGAGTTTCGGTTTCATCGGAGAATGAAGAATCCCTGATCTGGAAAAGATCTTGTTCATGAAATGTCTGCATGGTGTTGAATTTTGTGGGTTTTGTGAGAATTGGGGAAAGTTTTGGCTCTGATATCATGTTAAAGAATTCGTCTGTTTCCTCAATTTCCAATGCGCGCAGCTTTTCATCCATGTCTATGATGATATCGGTACCCGAAGAATTAAAAGTACAACTGCCTGAACCCGACAACGATGCAACTCCATTTACCGATGGAGGAGCATCTAGGGTGTCATAATCAAATTCAGATGTGGGAGATTTAAGGAAATCCATGTCAGTAGAACTGACAGCAGAGCACTCAAAATAGTCCTGAAACTGTTCGACCTTATGCCTGAATGAGTTCTCTGACTCTTGGTAGTTGCCAACAGAAGGGCTAATTTGTCTTGGAGAAGGCTTGTACACAGTCTTTCTCTTTGTTCTTTTCTTTGATGATTTCCTTGGTGGATCTAAGGGTTTTCGATTCTTGGATGAGGTACAGAGTTTTTCGACTTTGGTGGATTCTGTGGTGAAGTAGTAGGATTTTCTTGGCTGTGATAAGGGTGGCTTTGGGGCATTTTGGGTTGGTGAAGGCATCTTTTTGTTGTCTGTGTTATGGTTTCTGGTTTTGCTCATGTCTTTGAGCTTGTAAAACCAGGCATTTGGCATCATATCTGATAATCTGAACCTGTGATTTCCCATTGAAGATGATCTCTCTCAATCTCACACACAGACAGTCAGCTACCTTGGCTTTTTTGTTCTATACTATGCTTGAGAATGAAAATAAGAGAGATAGGAGGAGTTTTATAGCGAACCTCAAACAAATTGATTCTGTATGACTTTCTCCGTGTTCGTTCAAGTACTGGGACGAATGCAAGTACCCTCTATTCTATACCATATACCTTAATTACAGGAGAAAAGTAGAAGCAAGATATAAGATTTATATTTAAAGGTGGGGGACAATCATATGTGAAAGGAAAATTGATGGGGGCCAATGCAAGTTGAGGCAGCAAGAGGACAGGTTTGTGCTGCTTTATTTTATTGTAT